ATTTGTGATGACCAGCTTGTTCTCTTAACAAAACTCTATTAGCCTTTGCCCTGCTTCATTTTGAACTCCAAGGCCAAACTTCCCTGTTGTTCCTTTTATCTCTTGGCTCCCTACTTTAGCATTCCAGTCCCTTAGAATGCGAAGAACATCTTTCTTTGGTGTCAGTTCTAGAAGGTGTTGTAAATCTTCATAAAATTGTTCAATTTCAGTCTCCTCAGCAGTGGTGTTTGGTGCATAAACTTGGATTACTGTGATGTTGAAAGGTCTGCCTTGAATTCGTATTGAAATCATTCTATCATTTTTGAGATTATGTCCCATTACTCCTATGGGATTCTTGCCCACAATAGTAGATATGGTAATCATCTGAATTGAATTCGCCCATTCCTGTCCATTTTAGTTCACTGATGCCCAGGATGTCAATGTTTATTCTTGCCATCTCCTGTTTGACCACTTCCAGCTTCCCAAGGTTCATAGATCTTACATTCCAGGTTCCTATGCATTATTTTTCTTTGCAGCATCGGACTTTCACTTCCAGGCACGTCCACAGCTGAGCGTCCTTTCGGCTTTGGCCCAACCACTTCATTAACTCTGGAGCAGTAAAGTATTCCATCTCAGATAATTACTGCTAAAAGTGAGCTGCTACTTCAGTGTTTAGGCTCCTCTTCCCAGCTATGATCTCCCAGGGTAGGAGGGACAGGAAAACTGTTGGAGATTTTCAACCTTGCATGCTGCTTGTAGTTTGACTGGGAAGGATTTTTCTGGGCTGGGATGACTGTCAATCTATCCAGCTCTAACCAACTGTTCCCTCGTGTTTCTGAATTCTATGAGAGCTCTGCCTCTCTTCTGAGTGTTCTTTTCCTCTTTAGTCAGTTGGAAGCAATTCTTTTTCTTGTTTCTGAGATTGCACTGTTGAGATCCTAAGTGCCAGTTAATGACAAAGGGATGGATTAGCTGCGGCATTTGTAGCTATTCTCCTTTGTGAGTCTCTGTATTTCTACTGCATAGCAAAAGGAAATTTACCCAGAAATTCAAACCACTGCAACAAAAAATAAGATTCCCATTTCTTAGAGTGAACTTAAGGGGGTAGTTGCCACTGCTGTGGCCACTCATCAGGACTTTTCAAATTAATTTTATTAATTTTAAACTGAAGGACCAATAGAAATTGTTGTGTATCCTTTTTGTGTATAATGTAGAAGCAGTTCTTCAAAAGGTTACTTTTAATTGCCTGAAAAGTAACTTTTCCAAACTCTGGGCATGAGTACACTTTTTAGATTACTGTAAGGTGGGAACTGGTGTTTGAGATGTTTAGAGATACACCTTTTGTAAGGATAGTTTAAGAAAACTAAACATGATACATTTTCTGAGGCATTTTGTCAAGTGGAACATATCCTGCTCTGTGTTTTGCTACACTGCATTGAGAACACAGTGGCAACATCACATTCTACCCTTTTATCGTTATTTAACATGGCTGAATGGAAAGGCTCTCAGAAACAAGTCTTCCCTTCAAAAGGTTGATCTTAGTATAGTAAGTCATAATAGAGTAGGCCCTTTGAATTAGTGATGATTTGGAAATCAGCTGACACAGCAGATGTGTGATGCTTTGACAGGGCATTTAGAAAAATCTCTCAAAGCATCACTGATATGTTAGCAACATTTAAAAAGAAATGCTGAACTTCCTCTTTCTTGCCCTCCAAAGGCAAACAGAAAGGAAGCTTTCTATTTCTCAAGATCCTTAAGCAGTTTCCCCAAAGGGACAGCCAGCCAGCTGCTTTGGTTTGACTCCAACAACCACATATGTGTGTCTGCATTTCTTAAATGAATACATAGATTTTCCTTTTATTTGAACATGACTTTAAAAATATGTTCCGGACAATACTGGCAAGAGGAATATTGAGTTATGTATGACAAAATAAGTTTATAATAGTTTATATCATGCTTTGATAAAATATAATCTCATATTAGAATAATCTCTCTCACATACACTTGGCAGAAATGTCCCTGAAACAGCCATGGAAGGTATTTGTATACATGGTTTGTTTCTCATATGTCAGTTGTTTTCCTTACTTCAGTTGATATTTAACTTTTTTTTAGCATGCTCAAGTGTAACAAAGATATAAAAAGTTCAAACCAGCTATCACGTAAATCAGTCTTTCCCAATGTGATTTCCCTTGGCTGTGTTGAAGGACAACTCACATCAGCTCCATTGGCCAGACTGGCTGCTGGGTGATGTGGTGCATCAAATCTAGAAGATACCAGGTTTGGGAAGGCTGAACCACATATTCAAAACTGGGTAGAATTACAATTTTTGTCAAACAGATTATGTTGAACTGGCAAACTGGTATGTCTTTTTTCCCCACGTGCTGTTTACAAAATAAGTCTAAACACACATTCTTGTTTTGCTGTTTTAGTCTGAAGAAACTCAAGAACCACCTGAAATGCCAACTCCTCCTTCTCCTTCTCCTTCACCTCCACCATCACCAAAAACTGATCCAAGACTGTTAGATTCAAGCATTGGATTGTTAATGCCACCACTCCAACCCCCCAATAATATTGCTGTGTTCTGTGATCACAACTATACTGTGGAGGATACGGTACATCAGAGGAAAAGAATCCAGCAGCTGGAAGAGCAGGTGGATAAACTGAGGAAGAAGCTTAAAACGGCACAGCAGCGATGTAGGCGTCAGGAGAAACAGATTGAAAAACTCAGAGAGCTTGTTCAGTTTCAGAAGGAAAAAGACGCGTTGCCAGGGAAAGGCTATGTGATTCTGCCTGATGACTATTTTGAAATTGTAGAAGTACCTGCCTAAAGGGTTCACATTTCTTTTTACCAGGCACTGCCAAATTTAGCCTCATCAGACTAACTCACAAGTTCAGTTTAAAAATGCAATGCTTTCTAGTTCTCTGTGTAAGATATTTCAGCCCATCAGAATAATAATAAAAGTTGCTATATAATATTTCTTTGACATTGTGACTCCTTGGCTTTCTTATTGCTTAGTGATCACTAATGGTGCTAGTGGAGTTTACATGAAGATGATCACTGTCAGTTACGTACATCACTCATAACTTGACTCTGTGTATGTCACATAGGAGTAAGTCTCTGCTTTAATTAGGCTTACTCTCAGCAACCTTCGGCTGTAATCCTATATTGATTGACTTGGGAGTCAGCCCCACTGAAGCCATTAAGGCTTACTTTTGAGTAGACATGTATAGGTATTAATTTGATTCATCTGAAGAAGAAAAATAAATGCATCTCAGGAATGACTTCGCCCATAGTAATTAGTATGCATGTATTTATTTTAGTGTCTGTTTAGAACTGCAAGGATTTGTGGTGGGCAACACTATTTAATAATACACAATACAGACAAATATTAAATGTGTAATAAATGAATGTGTGATGTAGAATGGTGGCCATGACTTGTAAGCAAATGTGTCTTCAGTTCAGATTTTACCCCTATCAAAAACTTAGCTGGCTACATGGCTCAGTAGTCAATTCCCCACTGTTCCTCCTGAGAGAAGAGCCAGCCTGTGTGGCCTTGGACAAGGTGCACAATTCAAGGGTGCCCCCAGAAGAAGGGAATGGCAAGGGTGCCCCCCAGAAGAAGGGAATGGTAAACCACTTCTGAGTATTCTCTACTTTGAAAACCCTGAAAAGAGTTGCCATAAATCAGAATTCACTTGATGGCATATTGTTATTATTATAAATTTAGCTGTGCAGCTTTATGCAAGCTACTATGACAGCAACTGAGTGTCCCTGTATGTGGCCTTATTCACGTTTGTTGCATGGAAGACAAAATCAAGATGTCCTTGATTGGTCTTTAAAAGAGTGGTGCTACAAGGGAGAAAGGACAGTATTAGAAATATGCAGAGCATAAGCTTGTAATGGTTCAAAACCAAATCCATAGATAGTGCGCAGCAGATAATAAAAGTTTAGTAAAGGTGTTCACACAATCATAATGTGCTTTCTTCAACTCACTTGAGAGAGAGAGGGAGAGAGAGAGAGAGTCATAAGTTTAGTAAAGGTGTTCACGCAATCATAATGTGCTTTCTTCAGCTCACTTGAGAGAGAGAGAGAGTTGTTTCTGCAGTCGAGAAAGCTGTCAAGGGAAGCCCTGTGCAAAGCATTATAAGTCTTATTCAACCATTACTAAAAGAGGTACATTTACCACACGTAGGAGGGGACATTGCAGACTGGCTACCCTCTGTTTCTAGTACTGTTGCTGTCCTACATGTGGAGGGCAGCGATTATGTAAGAGGGGAGCATCCACTCTGAAAGTTCCCCCTGTGATTCAGAACTGTGCAAAATAAACATCCTGACTTGTGCTGAAAATCCTCAGGGATAGTGGAGAGTCCCCTTTTCAAATTCAGCATCTTCCATGTGCAGGATGGTGATTGTACTGGAAACAGGGTTGGAGCACTCCTCTTCATGGTGAGTTGCATGGTAATTACACCTGCTTTAAAACAGGGTTACAGTCTAACCTTAAGATAAAGGTTATCAAAGGGGTAGATTCAAGGTCAGCATCATCATTGTACTTAAGGACCTGTGTCAGCTTGAAAAGGGGTAAAGCCTGCTTTTATCGGTGCAGTGATGACAACCCTTCTCAAAAATTAGTGAACCACTCAGAAGTAATTGAAACAATGGAATATTGAGCATGAAATTTGGACCCATTACATTTGCTATTTTTACTTTTCATTGTAAGCAGTTCTTTGCCATAGGTATATATTTTTTAAAAAGTATCCTTTTCAAAGGAGTTCAGCAAAGAACTAATCAATGAATTTGATTTATTCTCCAGCTTTTCTGTGACAGGCAGCCCTTGGTTAGAGAGATGAGATAGACAATTGATTCTACATCGTTTGAGGTAAACCCTGGTACCTCAAGGTGGTTCTGATAGTTGGCAGCCACATCTTGGGGTTTTACTTTAACTACAGATACTGAATCCTCAAAATCTGGGCAGATACTTTTTCAATGTTTTTTTCCTGCCCCCAAACCTCTGCAATGCCAAGCCCAAAGAAAAGCCCTACAGGACTCAAAAGGTTGCTCATTTTCAATACATTAATAATCTACTGTATTCCTGTTTTAGATTTTCAACAGTGACTACAGTTTTTGTTATATTTTCTCTTGCTCAATGAATTTGGATATTCTGACAGTTCAAAAAACAAAACCTAAGAGACCAAAACCATCTGATCTCTTAGGTATCTGAAACAGTCAGTGATGTCATAATTGTTGGATACACACCCCAGTTTCCAGTAAATTACTGTCAGCCTGCATGTGAGAACTCTTCATAAGACATCCAGGTAAGATTTCCTGTCATTTTAGATGATTATGTTTGATACAGAAAAGCGGAATTGATGCACCAATAGGCATCTCTTACCAGTGGGGAGAATGCAGGGAAGCTTAATATAAATGGCATTAACCACTTTGATTTGTGTTTTTATTGAGGTAGTACATACATCAAACAAAACCACTAAATTATATGACAGCTATTCTCAAAGGTACTTCATATGATGCTTACAATAACATAGCAATGTGAGCCCATAAATGTTTACATAAACTTGGCTCTCTAGAGTATAAGAACTCTATGTAACGAGCAGCAATTTTTCTAAGGAAAATAGCACTACTAGAGCTTATCCACAGTATGGTTGAGGTTTCCTCCTCTGGCATGTGAACAAATGACACAAGTGGTAGACTATGGGAATCACTGGGTTTTACATTTGCTGATGAGCTGGGAATTCTTGGTCAATATTTAATTAGTGGGCAGAGTCTTTAGTCTTTACATGCCTTATGTCAATAATCTCATTAAAGTCACTGATGTCAATAAGAACGTTGTTACCATGTAGACTCATATCCAGTACTTGCTATTGAAATATTTACAGCTTGTTTCATCCTAGCCCTGTACTAACAAACCATTGTGACTTTGTCCATTATTTGTATCCTCACTTGATCATGGGGCTATATATAAATATGCCAATCATATACGTAGTTCCACTCTAATGTGTGAAGAAGTGGACTTGATTGGTGAAAGCTCACATTAAAATATAACAGTTTTTAAGTTGCCACATCATGTTTTTATTTTCTTTTGTTTATTTGTGTGTGTGTTTTAATTTAGTCTGATAATGCTACCACAGACTAAGCTAATTCTCTGAAATCTTCTCTGGCATTACATATAGAGAGGAACAGGGCTACACAGTGTCATAGAATCCTATGCAGGCAGGCCAAATCTGTGGCACTGATTGCCAGGTTTTGAAAATGGAGAGTTGACAGTGATATAAAATACAGTATTGTATATAATATTTAAATTTGATATCCTATGTAGATACGTCTTAGAGGCAGAACAGGCATACCTGGGGAAAAGAAAGGGTGATTGTTCTGTTCCTCTTCATGTGATGGGCCAGATGAAGCGAAGGCATTATCCAATCTGCCTCATATTATTGCTTTTTACATGCTCTTTGTCCCTGCAGTAGAGTTTAAAGAATGTTTTGTGTTACCATGTACCATCAAGTTGCTTCTGACTTGATGATCTCCAAAAAGTACTATCTTTAGCCCAGGTCTCACAACCTGAGGGAGATATAGCGTCTGTCTTGATTGGGCCAATCTGTCTCAAATTTGGTCTTCCTCTCTTCCTGCTGCCTTCAGTTTTTTCTTGTACTGTATTGATACCTTTTCTGCTGAGTCTTGTCTCCCTGCGAACTGGGGAAACAAACATTGTGATGAACAGATTATAACTAAACACACACTTTCAGTACGTACGTAAGGAACCATTTTAAAAATGTTTGTTTTTAACTTGGAACCATTTTAAAAATGTTTGTAGTTTTGTTTTTGGTAAAACAAAAAACCAAACGCATTTGTACATATTTGGGGAAAGAGGAAGATGGGTTATCCAGTTAAGGGGAGAGGCGAGATTCATGGCACACTCAGGGTACAACTTCATGAAATATAAATTATATTGTACAAATTGTGAAGCTGCAATGAAGGTGAGTTCCTACAGTAGAGGAAGACTCTCATCTAATATTAAATAGTGCACCTGTCTTGATCTGGATGAGCAAAGCATGATCCGTCTCTTACCTGAGTTTTCTTTTTCTCTACGACTCCAGCTCAGCCCAGTGTTGACGTAAGATCCTGCAATAAGCCTTTTGAGAGGAAAATAAAATTAGTAATGTTGAGCAGCTGTTTTCAAGGCAAGTGTGTTTATACTCTTGAGATCCACAATGGTTGTACTGAAATGTCTTTAGCAGGGCTAGTCCTGCTGTTTATTAGGATGACAGTATCTGCATTGGGGGAAAAGGGTCAGTTGATGGCAGGGATGGTTGTGTGAAATCCGAAGGGCATCAAGACTTCAAAACGTTAGTGGTGAAGTGATGTTGATAGTAGACTCCTGGGCACCATTTCGCTTCTGCTCCAGGCAGGAGAATGGCTTAATCTAGCACAGTGTTTCAGTGAAATGCAGCCTGATTTATAAACAATTCTGGAGATGGGTGTAAAAATATCATCAGGGGGAAAAAGACCACAATTGAACAACGATAAAGGAGAACCCATGTAATGTTAGGAGACCTTTGGGAATGTGAGATTAGAAAAATATACTACCCTGTTCCTGTTTTTCCAGTGACTTTTCTTGCATCTGTACAGATGAAAACTACTACTTAATATTTTTTTTCCAATGGTAACAACTTTCAGAAAAGCAGCTGTATTCGTCTGTTGTAGGTTGATTTTATTTCTCATTTTTTATTATGTTAAGAAAGCAAAACTAAAATGGCCTTAAAAAGTAAACAAGGACATCCTTAACTGTCTGTTGTACTGATAAATATTTGGTTTGATTGGTCAAAATGGGCTCCTACTTGATTAATCAACCAATTAAACTTTAGTAGAACAAATTACTGATTCAGCATGTTACAATTTCCAGACTGTGACATTTTCCTCATTTCGGTGGTGCACTAAAAAAATTGAACAGTTTTACAGTAGAAAACCAAA